TTTTAAGTCTTCTAAATTTACATTTGTTTGCAGATGATTTTGATACAAAGCAGTATACCCCAAGACATTTCCTTGTAATTTTTATACAGTGTCTGAAAGGATCATGGCTTATGTTTTGTGTATGGTAATAGTAACCACTATAAAGACAAACCACTTAAAATACATTGCTGCCTGTACAACTTTTTAAATATTTAATATTTATGTTCCTCATTATCAAAATTTCTGGAAATAAAATCTAGACAAAGAAACTGGAAAATAAATAATAGACCAAGTTAGAGTTTTTAACATATAATTTCTGTAGGCAGTTAAAATTGCAAATTAGGTAAACATAATATAATCATCAGAAAACAATTGGAATAATGAGTAGTATGATTTAGAGATAATTGTTGTCATGGATGTTATGGAAATTCTCAGACTAGCACTTCAAAAGTTGTGACCAAAATCCAATGTATTAGTAAATGTCACTGTTACTTTGTTAGAAAGCACAACCTAATATATTCAGGTATAAAACCCATCTGAATGTACTATGCATATGCAAATTATTTTCAGCTGGGTTATTCTTTGCATTGTTTTTTTTTTTTAATTAATTGAATTACATTTCTACCATGAGCCAATGTTAGGTTTCCAAAAATTCTATACCACAAACTCTCCTGTGGTTTTCCAGTTACTAAGCAACTAGACTCTGCTTGAGGGCAGAAGAGAATAGAGCAGGTTCTTTGCAATGTCCTCCATCCCTGCTGAGTTAATCAGAATAGCATCAGGGAATCCTATATCTTGCTTCTTCTTGAAATTACAAATTAGATGCTTCCACACGTGTCTCCATAAAAACAATGTGACTTAGATCATGTATGATAACTAGAATGCCCTCAAGGATCCTGATGGTGTCCCCTGGATGAAGAGACAAGTTTAGGTTTGTGACAAGTCTAATGTGAAATTTGTCCTTCTGATTATATTAAACTGTTTTCATTTTGTGACCTATAGCATGTCAAAGGAAACATACAAAATCTTTGAATGAAAGTATGCATGTGTGGTTATTTTTAATATTTTTTATTGATTTTTTTTTTTTTTTTTTTTTTTACAGAGAGGAAGGGAAGGGGATAGAAACATGGATGAGAGAGAAGCATTGATCAGCTGCCTCCTACACACTCCCTACTGGGATGTGCCCACAACCAAGGCACATGTCCTTGACTGGAATCAAATCCGAGACCCTTCAGTCCCCAGGCTCTATACACTGACCCAAACTGGCTAAGGCTGCATGTGTGTTTTAATGGAACCAGTTTCACATACAAGTTATGCAACTTACTTTATAGTCAGCATCATGCCATGAAAATTTTTCATGAGATAATGAGATAAATAGATAGCTTTAACATTACAATGATTTACTAGTGTTTTTAATGTATGAATTTGACACAGTTTATCCTAAAATCTTCCATTTTCCAAGTCTGTAACAATGATTATATGTAAGTTCTTATTTTTTGTTGCATTTATTAATTATCAAGTTACTGTTCTGTGTTTGTACTGTTGGCAAGAGATTATTTTGATTCTTCTGCAATATGCATACTCCCCTTCTTTTATGTCTATCGTGTTCCTGATTTTCATAGGGATAACTTTAGTATATTGCTTTAAAAATAGTTTTGCATTTAATTTCTGATAAAATATCTTCATCATGCTTAAGTTTCTTTAGATTTTATCTTTATTTAGATTTTTTTAATCTAAGAACTTTTTTATACCTACAAAAATGATCATATTTTTCTCTCCCCTTGTATTATATAAGAAGTCTCCTTTATCTTATTAAGAGTGAATTTGATATCAAGTATGAAAACCTGAGTAACAATGGCTTAAGCATAAAAGGTTTATTTTTGTCATATCTACTATTTCTGCAAGAAAGGATCTGCACACACATACATGAACATACACACATACCATATCCATACTTTATCTGAAAGTTTGTGCCAATTGCTAAATAGAAACTTGAGAATCTTTCTAGACCTTGCTTATTCAGCATCTACTTCTGACTGATTACTCAATTATGACATTTCTTTATTCTATCCCCTTTTCCATATCCTTAGAAACACTGTGTCAGTTTAAATGGAAACAAGTTTTACAATGATAGTTTGACCTAATTTACTGCTTCATGTTTCACTTCTAATTCATTTTCTCAGATCTATCAATAAGACCTTTTTTCATAAGCTTATTAAAAACTAGAGGCCCTGTGCGCATAATTCATGCACAGAGTGTGTGTATGTGTGTGTGGGGGGGGGTCCCTCAGCACTCTTTTGCAATCCAGGAATGCTGGCTCCTAACTGCTAGCCTGCCTGCCTGATCACCCCTAACCATTCTGCCTGCCTGCCTCATTGCCCCTAATAACTCACCTGCCTGCCTGATGCCCCTAACTGCTCCCCTGCCTGCCTAACCACCTCTGCCTTGGCCCCCACCTCAACAGCTTCATCTGGAAGGATGTCAAGAATGATATCTGGAAGGTCATTCTGCTGTCCAGTCTCATTAGCATATTACACTTATTATTACAGATGTTGCTTCCTTACTTACGATCATTCAACAGCTCTCTATCAGCCTCTAGGGAAAACTCATTTTCTTGACATGGTGTATGAGGTTCTTCATGGTCTTGACTAACTTTATCTCCCACCACTTTTTTTTTTTTTTTTTTTTTTTTTTTTTTTTTTTTTTTTTTTTTTTTTTTTTTTTTTTATCAAAATGCTGGTTGTTCACCAGCTAACAAACTCAAAGCCTGGCATAGGAGAGGCTGTATTAATATGATCTGAATAAATGAGTAGATGAGGAAAAGACTTCTAACTTGCTCAGACATATGCCAGGCTATAGTAAAATATCCCCATTAAAAACAACAGTGTCTTAGCTCTCCTTTAACTTGGATAATTGCAGCTTTTAGATTAATTGGATGGACATACCAAATGATTGGGGGGGGGGGAGTCAATTCCACATTTTATGCTAATGACTTATTTTTATTAACATTCTAAGCACTCATAGAGAGATACTGATCTTATTGCCTATTTACTTCCAGGAACAATAGCTCAATACTAACTATGCCAGTATGAAAATAGTTGCTAGGAGCACATAGTGTTCAGAGTTCAAAAGTATAGCACTAAATCTTTCCATCAAGCATGCAGATTTATTCTGCAGTTGAGGGGCACACTTAGCTGTTAATTGATTTTACTACCTAAAATCATTAGAACTAATCTTTGTTTCCCATTTTTTTTATGGATCATTTCTAAATTATGCATTAAAAAAAAACTTCTTTGTGATAAAATCTTATTTACCTTGTTTTATGACTTGGGGTTTGGGATGTTGAAGAGCAAATAATTGAGCATATGCCAGTTTGTATTAAAAAAACAAAATTGGTCCCGACTGTCACCTTCATCACCTTCATGGTGGAGTGATGTAGTTGCTTTCCTTCTGAATACCAATGGTGGTTGAGTTTATTGCAATAAAATATGATCTTGCCCTGGCCAGTGTGGCTTAGTTTGTTGGGTATCGTCCCATGCACCAAGGATGGCCTGTGGGATTCCATTTAGTGCACATGCCTGGGTTTTGTGCTTGATCCGCAGTAGTAGATAGATGATCTCTTCTCACATTGATGTTTCTCCCTTTCCTCTTCTCTCTAGAAATCAATTTTAAAGTATTTTAAAATATTGTCTTGTAATTATATATTTGTTTTATGAATATGGATATTTAGTCAACAAAATCATGTATTTCCACTCTATTCTCTTAACATGTAATTTGAAGTGATTTATTTTCTTTAAATTATTCTTAAGTATTCTAAAATACTTAAACATATTCTTAAGTATGTTTAAGTATTTTAGCAATATAGTCACATTTTTAAATTGCATTTGAAACTGAAGTCCTAATTGACTAAATGGGGCCATATGACCAGATATATTGTGTCAACTTCGTCTGGATTTTATCTTTCTTTTCTTTGACTTCACTTTAATAAGTTGCACTATTTTGGACTTTTCTGTTATTTGGAGTCGTGCTAATAAAATTTAAATTGTAATTTAACCGTTATAAAAAAAGAAAGAAATTAGACAAGGAATTGAAGTGTGCAGAGAAGCTTTTTGTTTTATATTTCTCTTACATGGTAAGATTCTATGGACAGCTATTATTTTTTTCCTAGCTTTATGTAGAAGAGTGATAGAATGCATTAATAGAGCTAAGTACATATTTAAAACCAAGGAATAAAGGACAAAAACACTAAAACAGAATGCTCAAGTAAACATAAAAGTTAAGTAAAGAGAAAATGGACAAAGTTTGGGAACACTTAAGAGAAAATAGAAGAAATGGCCTTAAAAATATATAGGGCAGTTAATAGTTTAAAGTAATTAAAAACGAGTAATTTTTATTTTTAAAAATCACTTTGACAGACATTTTATTTAAGTAAAAACAGAACTCAGGCATTTAGCTTTCCATACATGAATTGAAAACATTCAGTAAAGTATTGGGTTAATGATAAATGATGGCCTAAGTGATGAAATTTAGACAATACTTACTTGCATAAGTACAACTTCTTTTGTTTTCTCTAGCATTCCTGATGGGATATTAGTATATGTTTTCTTTTTTTTTTTTTACATTAGTTTTAACTTTCAGTCTTCCATTCTGAGCTATCCTAATAAATTGAAAAATTATTTTTATCTCTTTTCTCATTTATGTGAAATTCCATGTCCAAATTTTTTATGACAGGATCTACATGATTTAGTTCAGGAATTCAATGAAGAATCAAAGTGATATCTTTTCCAAAATGCTCTATGCTTTTATATACAATATAAAGCATAGCTCTTTCTGCATTTCAAAATATTTTATTTTATTCTATTACATTGTATTTCTAAGTATGAATATATAGCTGAAATATAGTTAAGTACATATGTACCAAAAATAACTATAATTTTTCACAATTTTCTATGCTTTTTCCAGAATATACTTATAACATGCAGTATATTTATTTTGTTTTACTTTTTTTTTTTTCTCCTAAGAACGACCCACATTTCTCAGGAGACCAATTAACCAAGTGGTGCTGGAGGAAGAATCAGTTGAATTTCGTTGTCAGGTCCAAGGAGATCCTCAACCAACTTTGCGGTGGAAGAAGGATGATGCAGACTTACCAAGAGGAAGGTAAAAACATCACATGCATGTAAAATTATTAGATAATCAGTGAGTAATTAGAAAAAACACCCAATTGCACCACCAAACACTCTTAGATATTGGTGTATTATTTTCGCATACCTGATTTTTACACATGCAAGCCACATAGCTGCTATTTTATACACTTAAGTCTTCCAGGCTGATTCTCCACTTTATCTATTATAATACTTTGAATATCAAGGACTCCTGAGATACTTATTTCTTCATGATCCCTGATAGGTCTGCTATTCTATCACTGCTCAACCATTGACTACCATTCCTGTTGCTTCCTGTAGCTACTGCTCTGTTGCCCTGATGCTGCAGCCCACACTGCACACTGGCTGCCTTCCTTTGCTGCCCAGAGCATCGCTAACAAAAAGCTACTGAATATAGCTGGCTGTAAGGTCTGGAGTAAAGGAGATATCTTGTTTAGCACATTCTGAAAGGGCAGCAAGTAGATAGCATCACTGTCCACATAGGCAATTTTCCCCTTAAAAACTCTCTGTCACTTTCTCACTTACCATATCATCATGGAGAATTTCTTCTCCATTTCTTCTATCTTATTCTTATTACTACCAGTAAACCCCAAGCCCAATCTTTCACCACTCTATGTTAAGTTAAAAATTCTTGTTATCCTATATAATAAAAGACTAATATGCAAATTGACCTAATGGCAGAAGGACTGGTTGCTGTGATGTGCACTGACCACCAAGAGGCAGAAGCTCACTACAGGAGCTGCTCCTGGTGGTTAGTATGCTTCCACAAGGAGAATGCAGCTCAGCCAGAAAACAGACTCACGGCTGGTGAGTGCAGTGGCAGTGGCGGAAACCTCTTCAACCTCCACAGCAGTGCTAAGGATTTCCTACGGCCAGCTCAGGGGAGTGGGCCTAAGCCATCAGTTGGACATCCCCTGAAGGTTTTCAGACAGCTAAAAGATGCAGCCTGGGCTAAGGGACCCCCTCCCCCAAGTGCACAATTTCCTGTACTCAGCCTCTAGTATTTTATAAAATATTATTAAATATTTCTGTCTAAACTGTTCCAATATTTTGCCTTTTATGATCAAACTAGAAGCCTGGTGCATGGATTCATGCACCAGTGGGGTCTCTCAGCATGGCCTGCAGGGATCAGGCTGAGACCAGCTCTCCAACATCCCCCAAGGGGTCCCAGATTGCTAGAGTGCTCGAGTGACACACCTGGAATCAGGCTCCCTCCTCTCTGGTTCCGGATGTGTCACCTGAGAACTGTAGCTGCCAAGTCACCACAGCTTGGCAGCTCTTGCATTGAGTGTCTGCCCCCTTGTGATCAGTGCATGTCATAGCTACTGTTTGGATGGTCAAAAGGTTGGCTGGTAGGCCAGTCATTTAGGCTTTTATTTATATACTAGTACATAGATAAGTCATTTTTTTTCTTTTCTATTTAATGAGCAAGTCTAGCTTTAAGATTTGTTTTGCTTTTCTCTTAGTCATACCTTCTGAAACTAAATCCATCACATCTACTATAATCATAAAATATCACTCTCTGCTTTTTTTGGTACATTTTTCCTAAAACAATAAATTAGTTTTCATTCAGTTAAATTAAACATGATTTTATGGAAGTCATTTGCCTTTTGTGTATTTTCACTGACATTGCTATCAATACTTTCCGAATTTATATACTCATTTCAGTATCTCAATGCCATATATCCCAAGGCCTATGATGTTATACTTTCTAAAGTCATATCATCAACAGCACTAGCTTCAAAAATCAACCAAACATTTTAAATAATGAGAGGTTCTTTGGAAACTATGAGAATAAGACAAGTGAAATATTTAATTCAGTTAATTTTTCAGCTAAAGTGTAGGGAAAGTTGTTTCTATGTGTCTTTTGTCACTTTGCTGTCAGATATCTCATTTTAAAGGATAGTTATCAGGTGAAGTCTGTGAATGTGAGGCTCCTCAAGCCTTATCAATGGAGGAGCAAGTTAAAAAGGATTAAGCATTTGTGGAGTTTAGTTGTTTGTGTACGTCCACCACGTGTAATTAGTACTTTTCCTCACATTTGAGAGCACTTATTGTATAATTTTAAAATGCTGATGTGATATAAGATTTAGGATTAAGAGATTAATTATATAAAAAAATTTAACCTACGCTAAATAAAGGTCAACTTTTATTTACTGGAAGTAAATAGCTTTGTTCAAAATGACTTAACAAATAACAATAAAAATGCTTTCACTTTGGAATAATTTTGGATTTGTAGAAAAGTTAAAAAGATAGTACAGAGAATTCCCTTACACCCTATATCTAGTTTCCCCTATTGTTAACATTATTAATTACTATGAAACTCTTCCAACTCCAAATTAACAAATGCTAATATATATTATGGTTTTGTTTTTGGTTTTTTTTACATTATTTTGGCTTCACCAGTGTTTCATTAATGTCTTCCTTCTGTTCTAGGATTCAGTCTAGATTTTGTTTAGTTGGATGTCATAGGCTATGGCATTTAATTGGCATGTTTTCCCAGTTTCCTCTGGTTCTCAGTGTTTCCTTGTTTTTATGACCTTTTCTGGCTTAAAGTGTACTGGCCAGGTATCCTGTAGAACATTCCAGAAACTTGAATTTGCCTAGTGTTTTCTCATGATTAAACTGGGTTTGTGGAATTTTAGGAAGAAAGTCAAAGAGAATGTCATCACTTGATATCAGGTTTATGTGATATAAAGAGTGACATTATATCAACATGGTCATTTATAATTCTTAAATATTATCCAGTTAACAAAAGCTTTAAAAATAGAAATAGTAGTATTTAGCATTTTAATCAGTGTATGTGTTTGATTTTAATGGGTATATGTCTTTGCATTAAAATTTGAGCCCAGTTTGATTTGTTCCCTGATCAATTATAGGTCAGCAATTTTCAACCTATATGCCCCAAGGATTTTTAAAACATGCAATACCTGACTGTTTAGTCAGGGCCACTGACCTCTTTCCCCTTAGATTGTCAAACAAAAATCAACAGCAGCCAACACAACAATAGCTGACTATGTGAAAAATTCAAAATCATACCTATTTTTTTGTCATATAGGCAAAAATATATATCTACTTTGGTGTGCCACAGAATTTTAGTAATTAGTTTGTATGCCATGATATGAAAAAGGTTGAAAATCACTGTTCTAGATGTTAGGTCATAAATCTGACAACTTTAGTTGCTATGGAAAACCTTTCCAAGTTCATTTGCTACAAAGTTCAAATAATGCATACAAATCAACAACAGTATTAAAACTATGTCTGGAATGTGTGATATATAGTCCTCTAAAGATAAGGTTGAAACTTTGAGAAATCTTACCTTTGCTACTCCCTTTAAAACCTTTTCATAGGTTCAGCCTCTTCAATCTTGTGTTATTGGTAAAAGAGCATTACAGAGTTTCATGTGACCAGATAAATATTTTTGAAATAATACGCAAATGGAAATACTGTGTAAGCTTTAAATTGTATTTTAGAAGGGCTTAAAGCAAGGATCAGTGAGATATAGAAATTAAGGTTAGTATTTTTATCATGATAGATGGCATGTACGTTTCCTAGAATTCTCAATCTTTAAATGCTATGTCAGAGGAGCTTATTCTTTCTTACATTTGGATGCATTAGCATAAGCTTCACTAATGCAAAGGAAGGGTAAAAGACCTCTTTACTGGTGAGGAATAACACTAATGACTTTTAACCAAGCATAGCCTAAATGAGCAACATTGGTTCTATTACATTATTTAGATTTCAGACTAGGGAGATGGCCATTGTCCTTGTGTAAGCAATTGTAGTGGAGTGGTGTGGAGGCTGACATTTCTTTGGCATAACATTTAAAGCAATTTGAATAAGGTTTGTGTAGTGGTTCATGTTTAACACATTTATAGTAAAGCTTTGTAGGGCAGCTGCATAGCCTATAATTACTATGTAAGTAATATGTGACTATTTTTCTTTTGGAGACAAGAAAAGCTTTTCAATTCAAGTTTAAATATATGAAATGCTGTGATAGCTATTTAAACCTTTAATACAGAAGTTATTTGTGCCAACATTTTAGTAACCAGAGTTGAATTAAGAGAATATTTTTTTTCCTTTTCCACAAAAATAGTTTTTTAAAGTAATATCCATGTGCCTCTTTAATTTAATCTCAAGCTCTTAACCTTTCTCATTAACTATCTTTAATGACATTATTACATACCTTTGATTATTAATATTAAAGACAGTTTTTTGATTAGATGGATATTTCGGTAAAGTGGGACGAGTATTACCAAGGCTAACAATAATCCTGATGACCAACCAGGAAAATTTATTATTTATTTGGAATTAATAAGCATATGACAAAGGGACAAAATAGTAAGAAGCCTTCATTTCATATATGTTATCATTAAAATATTAATTGTTTACAGAAACTTTTAAAGGTTTTTCAGAAAGAAAAAAATATTTCTTTTTATGACTGTGTTAAGTATCAGTATCTTTTTTCCAGATTTCTAAGTATCAGATTGGGTGATGAATAAAAATATTTACATACTGAATACATTGCAGAAAGTCAAAACTGAAGTAATCCTAGTTTCTTCCTTGGGTGCCAAGTCTTTCCTTTTCAAGCAAACTTAATGCTTTTTGCTAATTAATACTCTTATGATGATTAAGCACATCTTTTCATATAGTGTTTCATTTAAAAGAAGTTACCAGAATGTTTAATAACTGGTTCAAATTACCATCTTATGCTATGTCCCATGATAACATAGGGATCTTGTATAGTATTGTTATACCAAAATAAAAAATACATACATATATACACACAGATGTGCTGAAGCTGAATGGAAAATACCATATTGTATTGAGATAAGGGAAACAAAATGCAATAAACTTACAACCAAATAAATAAAAATAAAATTGAAGCTGAAACCAATTTGACTCAATGGATAGAGCATTGGCCTGCGGACTAAAGGTCCCAGGTTCGATTTTGGTCAAGGGCATGTATCTTGGTTGTGGGCACGTCCCCAGTAG